TGCTTTCAAAACATCACGTTTACAGGTAGTGAGACCGGGTGCAAACTCCCGATCCCTTCAGTACCTCCTGTCTCAACGCTACAAGTATTTGCTATCAATCCTTTGTGTAATACCACACACTACTCTTATCACTGATAGTAGAAATCTGATATATGATCAAATGTGCCTGAACTACTACGTCTGTAAACTGAAGTAGTTTAGACTTCAGATGTTCTGATATCCCTGGTGATTCTCATCTTAGTGTAACTATAAAATGAAATATCTAAATGATTCACTATCATTTAGATGTACAAATGAGTCACTCTCATTATAAGATGCTAAGTTTTTGGCTGCTGCTAGTACATGCACTGCAAGGTGACAAACCAGTCTAGTACATAGTATTTAGCAGTTACTATGTAGCAGAATACGATCAATTTTCAAACTTCGTTTTTTTTTTTTTTCTTGATTCACAAGAAACAAGCCTTCTTAACTACAGTAATCTAGAAAGAACTTGTCTTTGCTACATATGATGTACTTCATTTCCAGTCCTGTATTGATCAGTTGTATTACTGAGCCCAAAAAAACAATAGACTATAATTACTCAACGCCTACTCACATAGCTGTACCCAGCATAATTGAAGTTTTCTTTGTCTCATGCAGCAAACAAGGTACATCCACCTTTGCTGGCTTGCTATAACAAAGCAGGTCGAAGACAAACTTTGTCTTTACTCCGTCACTCGGGTCCTTTGCTTCCTTCTTCGACAAGCCGGAAGCAGGACCAGTAACTGAGCCTGAACGTGCTGACGCCCCAAGCTTCTGTTCCCTGAAATCGTTGAATATGCCCAAGGATCTGGTGAACTCGAGGGTGTTGACCAAAATCGGATGTATACTGGTTTGCGACACAGCTATCTCCCTTTCCAAATACTGATTACAGAAACCTACAGTAGCTGCAGCCAAACCTCCATTCTATCAGGTCTCCTGGGCAAGTGAAAGCTTGCCGTCCCACCCAATTCAAGAAGGATGAAGGATGCTCGCAAAGGTGCCCACTTCCAACTGTGTCCAGACTAAGTCACGCCTGCACTTCACCTCACAACCAAAACCTACCTACAAAGCCTGGTCTCCTGCTCAAGCTCTGTCGTCGTTCGACTCCCCTGTCACAACAGAAAAAGCCCAAAAGTGTATGTGGTGACAGGTCGAGGTCGTTAGTGACCAGATTGCAGTTATCCCAGATTTTTGGATGATATTGTGTTCCAGTACCAGATCGGTTGCACGAAAAGTATGCAGATTAGCATCACTGTTAAGGTACAGAGAAACAGAACTTGCCCTGCAAGGTGTTACTCTTGACTTCGTTCCAGTGCAACAATCCAGATCGACGTCGACTGATCTATGATCTCTCTTAGAATCCCGGATTTCTGCCGGTTGCTGATCAATGGGTGGACAACACTGGATATAGAACTAGCCACACACTAGATTGATTTTACACATGGAGGTGTTCGTTTGTTTGCATCATTTGCCTGGAGCTTGCCGTTCAACGTGAAACGTTCACTTGAGGTAACATCAACTCGTGCAATCATTTGCTTGTCAGACACCAAGTTTGGAAATGCTTTTCAGAGATTTTCTTCCTTTCTTTACGTTGTGAATGGTAGACAGGAATACTCGTACACATTACCTCCTCACTATCTACCCAAAAGACGATGGAAACTACAGTGAAAGACCGGGTCAAAGAAAGAGGTCGCAAGACTCGACGGGCGGAGGAATCGACCCTTAGGGCGGCAGGGCAAACGATGGAAGCCCGTAAAGAATTGAGATCTAGGACAAGCGGGGACGGCTCGGACAGTCCGACGGGGAAAGAAAACGGGACATGTGAAGGTAAGATGGACTCCACCTGGAAACAACACAACAAGCTCCTTCCTGTTCTTCCTAGGATGAAGAAAGCAAGTGAGATGCTAACAGGAGGCCGCACTATCACTCATACAGGTCTGATGCGAAGATGGAAAAGAGGAAAGCAGGGGTATAAAGGCAGGGCAACACCTTGGCAGGAGCAGAGAGGTAAAACGACCGACCACTAATCGGACAGCCTCGAACTGAAAACGAGGCTGGCTCTGAAAGAGAATATCGAGGCGATAGAAGCCACAGAGCACCGATGGCTGGCAGGCAGGAGACTACACCACACGACACCTGATTAGAAACAAGTGATCAAACTCATCTCCAACCTGGATACGATAACTACCATTCAATCGCTTGCTCGACAAATCTCTCGACCGGGCTGCTTGCCTGCCTCCACGGAGGTGAGAATGGCGCACCCTAAAACCGACCCAAAAAAAAGACACACTCGCTCTTGGAATCCAAACCCCAGGGCACCACGACCACTCGAACCCTCGCTCTCTCGGCACCGCAACAACGATGTCGCCCGACTTCGGTCTCTTAGATCTGCTATTCAGATCTAGTACTTGCTCACCGACACCCCGTTCTTTTATCCTCGTGCGAACTTCTTCGTCTCTCTCGTTCTCTCCGAGAAAGACCGACCGACAGAACGATGAGGGTCGTGGACGAGCGGCAAAAACTTGCGCTCGCACGCGGGCGGCCTGCGGGACTGCGACTGGGTCTCGAGCAGGATGAGAGCCGCGAGAGGCGATTGCGCTTGCTCCTACAGAGCGAGCTCGCTCGCTCGCACGCAGCGATGATGATGATGGTGATGCGCGGACAAAGCTTCGGCTGCCCAGTGCGCGAAGGAGAGAAGGACATGCGATCGTCTCGACTGCTGCAACTGCTGCCGCTGATGCCAGGGCTCGCGCTCTCGCCAAATCCCTAAACCTCAAGCCCTCCTCCACTGTCACCCTGAAAGATCACCGTTGCCGTCTTTGCACGCCCAATTCACACAATTTCCGAGCAGGATTCAAACCTTCAGGACCACTTCCGGCGTCCAAGCTGATCTCAGGTTTCTAATTTGTACGAGACCTGTGCCAATACATCTCCTTGAGATCTCCGCACCAGCTCGACCTTTCCGAACACGAACTTCCTGTCGGCAGAATTAAGGAGTCCTCGGGATTTCTACCTCTCCCATCTAAATACGTCTCCGCGAACGTTCGAAGCTGCCGAATTCAATAACAACTCGGCGGAGGACTTCGACCGCATCACCTTCTCTGCCTGTGATTCCACTCTTTGCAGCCCGGCCAGACCGACGATTCGCAGCTTCGATTTCGAACAATTTCTCAATCATAAAAACCCGTCAACCCTATCACAAACGCAAAAGAATCTCGAACCTTCGACTCAAACTTTGACTGCGAAAATCATTCGAACTTCTTCTTCGGCAAGACCTACTGTTCAAAACCCCTCCGAATGAATTCAATCGCAGGCTCAAGAAAAACACCGAAACTACACGTAGAAACCGTAAACTGTCACGATTTCGGCAAACGGGAGTTCTTCGAGTGAAATATACGGGAGATTCCCCACTGGAATTCCCGTCGGTCAATTACCCTACTGGCAACAAACCGTCACCGTCACAAACATGAGTCAAGCCCAACCCACTCCACACTCGGAGAATCCAGATCGACGCAAAAGGGAAAGTCACTCTACGCTCCCAACGCTTCCAGGCTCGACTCGAAGAACTGACGTTCTTCGAGCCGTCCCCGACTGTATACCCCTCGTGACCGGAACCCTAACTTTACGGCTAAATATAGTAAGCGTCTGAACTTCGTGAGCCGACTCGTAACTACATGACAGCTTTTACATATAAATATTCATATAAAATATATACTAGATGTCATTAAAACACATTCTTTGACATTTATGAAATTCAATGTATATGAATATTGAAAAAGTATTTTGTGATTTTTGGAAAATAATTTCTTCTATTTTTTATTAATTTATTTGGAATACCAAAAAACTTATAACCAGTTTGCAATATTTTTTTTCATGAATATAAAGTCGTATGGTTCATTATATATATATATATATATATATATATACATGCACGTTTGTTGCAATTTTCATCAATTTATTTTGAAATTTTTTAATTCTAGCGATATGCTTTTCATATTTTAATGTGATCTGAGAGATACAAATAAATGTTAATTTTCAAGCAGTATTGACGCTTTGTGCATCAGGCTTTAAGCGTCGCTTGAATTTCTTTTATTAATGATTAAATGTTACATTGTGGTATGATCGACGTTCGAACCTTTATTACATAATGATATAATTCTCTAGATTATGTTCTCAAGGTTGGTTGGATGCAAGTTCTTTTATGCTATGTAGACTTTAAACAACTTGGACTATGTTGACGATCCATATACTTTCTTTGTACGTGTTAAGTTTCTGTTGGGAACGAGTGATTTGTGATTTAACATACCATATTCTTACATACGGCTAGTAGAATTGAGATCGTTTCCTAATAGACATTCAGTTTCGGGTCCATGTTTGAATTCAACTCACACAGTTGACCAGACCATGCTACTCATATTCGTTATCTTTGCGCACAAGTTTGGTCATCCGTCTCAAAGACAACAAATACCAGGCGGTAATCGTCAATCAACCGCTTCTTTCAAATAACACTTATTTTGCGAGAGTCTGAAACATCTTCAATTTCCCCTACCCTAACTTATGAGATCCCTCAACACAGAGAATGCAATGGTTCAATACGGAAACTTACGTGTCATACTTTTTCCATCAATCGAGAGCTTCCCACTCTTACATATTCATGACATGTGGGACTTTGACACTTTGTTGACGCGAAAAATGATCGAGGAGAGAGAAAAGGAGCTGCTCCTGAAAAGTGGACAACACGCACCGAAGGGAGCAGAAGGACATCCCCGACGCAGAAAACGAAGAATCCAACGGTACAGGCGTGAGATGCGAAGAACCCTGTCATCCTCTGGAATCTGACGGTTATAAGGACAACAGAGAAACGGACGGAGAAAGTCACGATGACGGATATCGTCACAGTGGGGACGGACGAGCGAAGCCAATGACAGATGGGACGGAAGGAGGGAAGGAAGGAAGGAAGGAACTGGTGCACGCGAGGGAGCGAGCGAGCGAGGAGGGTGGGAAGGGAGGGGGGAGCGGGGTGGAGGTGAGAGCGGAGCGGGGAGCGGGGAAAGCGCGGGCCCAGCGCCATGAGTATTCGGCGTCGCGTTTGAACGAACGTGGAAGGCCGTATCGGTCTCGAGGCTGATCCGAGTTTGGCGATGGCACGGCGATCGACCTGCTAAACTTTGTCCCTCAATCGATCGCCAACTGTTTCCGTTTGGAATTGCAAGCAGCACCAGCGTATGTACTTGCGAGCTCTGTCCGCAGCTGAGATGTGTCGTAACGCGGTTTTGTAGGCGTGCCAATGGCCGATAAGGTCGTGTTCTGATGTAATGTGATAGACGATCTACACCGCGGCGAATGCGTGGAGTGTGCGAGATGAGTTTCGGGTCTGAAGTTTCAGCCTGAACTGTCTTTGGTAGGGTAGGTATCTGCGTTTGGCTTCGTCTTCTCTCTCTTTTGCTCGGGCTGTTTTGCAATAATCCAATTCATGGCCTCTGAATCGGAGTGCTTATCGCGCCCTCGCCACGATGCTTACTTTGTTGTAGACATGTCAATTTCCATGCCTAAATTACATGAAACGACCCGTCTGTTAGCAACAAGGGTAGTGAAATGAGAACCCTTTTTATTGCCGAGAAGAACAATCCCTTCGTAAAACATGGAACTTCTCGTGAAGTCGAAGCGAGCGTAACTCGTAGTATGTCGATCCACTGGTTGAATTGACGGTAGCTGTGCCAGCTGCTTTTCACTCAGATTGTTGGCTCCACTGCTGATTTGCTTTTTTGTGGTCGATTCATCTTTGTTTCTTGTTCCGATTGTTAGTACGCGGGAGCAGGGTTACTGATGACACGCTAGAGTCAGTATCATTTGAGGTTCGACTTACCTGAAGGCTTAGAATCTAGAAAATCGTTTTACTGATCTCTGCGAGGGTGAAGGTGGAACGTTGGTGAACAATCTTACCGTTTGTTTCTTTCTGTGGATTTCATCGTTTGAGCCAAGTCTTCCAATCCTCATGATCGTCAGTGTAGTTTTTCATAGTTTTTTTTCCACATCGATGTGAAGACGGTTACTGTGAGTCTTATGAGTACCAGTTACTTACAGTTTTGGGGCAGTGCGTCTATCTATCAGCTATTCTTAACTATATGAAGAAAAGGTGGAGCAGATTGAAGTCTGCGAGAATAGACTGACTTGCATCAGTATAAACCTTGAGTAATATATCGTGAATAAGTTATAAAAGCACCAAGGGACTACATTGTGAGCGACGTTTTAAATAGTTGTGTTTTGGGTGTTTTTTAGTAGGTTCCCGTGTAGTCCGAACTACCCTACATGTAAATGGAACTTTATAGTCACAGCACAATTATCCGATCTGCAGATTTGCATCACTAATGCTGTAACTTTGCCATGCATGGTCAGTGCACGTTGATCGCCATTCGGAAATTATGAATGAAGCGAAACCATTCTCGGAATGTTAATGCATCAAATTAAATGTATGCCGTCGTCTTGTGCTTAGTCATGGTGATGCTATCATTTGTCTGCTAGACTGTTGAAAGGACGTATTAGACTGTACTTCGAGATCCTTGCGATTGCTTTCGTTAAATTCCTTTTTGACATCTCCGTAAATTGCAAAGTAGAAACTCCTGAACCGAAGCTTTACCAGTGGAGAGTTAGATGTGCAGTAATTGATTCGATCGGAATGGACAAAATGGGGACAAGGTCTAGTTAATCTCCTGGAGAAGCAAGTAGTATTCGGACCATGTTAAAGATGTTGGAGTTTGCAGCATGACAAATCGTATCTCGTCATCTTGCAGGCCTGTAGTACCCTGTCATCCAAGCAATGGGAGTGAAGGCAACTTCACGGCAGAGTAAAGATTCAAATGAAGCTTCAGATTTTGCCAATGGATCCCGTGATCAACAACAGGCGGCAAATGTTGGAGGGCCGACATCTTCCAGCAAACCTCTTGATAAGCAATCCGCAATGCGGCGGAAGGTTGATAGTGTTCTCGATGACGTGATGGGAGACCCTGAGGATTTCAGGGACTTTGCCGACTCCGATGGAGAAAGCGGTGGGGGTCGATGGGAAGATACTGTCAGAGCGGCGTAAGGCCTCTGTTGCTGCCGCCGCTGGTTCCACTATGAATTATTAGCTGTTAAAATTTCTTGCTTGGCTCCAAAGGTTCCTTGACATTGGACTTTGATTGAATGTGCGGGACATGATCTTTTCAATTGTTTGATCATGTCTTGTCGTGAAACTAGTGCAGTGCTCTAGTTTGTTCGTAGTTTGCATTTGTATATTACCAATCTAGGTGTTTTTTCTCGTTCTCCACATTATTCCAAATTACTTGCTAGAACTGTCAACTCTTTCTGAAGAGGCGAAACTGTATCCTTAGCTGGAAGTGATATCGGGACTCCCAAGTCTCATCGAGTCTTTTGGGTCAATGAGAGCTCACTTTTAAACGGGAAATCTTGAACTTTTAAGTGTATATAATCTTATAATGGGCAGCTATTTTTTCGGGACTTTATGAAGGAAGCTGGAGCTGCGAGCCTTACTATCTGCAAGTTCCAAATTGGAAAGCATGCAGGGTGCTTTTCCAATAATTATGTTATAAAGGCACTACTATTTCAAGCGGCAATGGAGACTCTGTATGTACATGGATCAAGTGTCGAACGTTAGTATACAGTCAGTAAGAGGTTAGAGAAAATTTTACCAAGGTCTCAAACCTGTTCAACAAAACTGTTAAATGGACGGCTCTTTCGACGTGAACAATAGGAGGATTTAGCCATATCGCTGCCGAAGATATGTGCTCTTACAACAGACCTCGTGCCTGAATGGTCATCTGCTTCGTAACTGTAGTCTTGTGTTCTTACTTCCTATTATCAGGAGGAGCGCAGTTGCACACAAACTCCCTCATTCACCTTCTATTTCTCCCAACTTCTGGGGACTTTCCTTCGTGTAAGCCTTTGTAGTTAAGTTTCTGTTCTTACTGGGTTGCTCTCTTTCAGTTGAGACAATCTCGGTATCGGATTTAGCTTAAGACTGTTGTATAAAGGGCATGCTATCCTTTCTTACGACAACACATAGTGGGCAAGTGTCGTCCGCAGCAAGTGACCTGCATGTGATAGCATAACGGTCTAGCAGCTTGTCGTCCTTCGATAGCTGAGTTCGATGGTAAGGCGAATCTGAAAGGTCTCAACTTGGCTGAGTATTTCTCCTGTGAATGCGTTAGGTACTCCGAACTTGATGCTGTCGGTCAAGACGTAATTCTGACTCCCTTTTTTGCGAGAGCGGCCTTTGGCCGGCTCTCTCCGTGCGTCATCTGCCGGCCCATCTACTCCACTATTTCAGTGCTCCTGGCAAAGTTTTGCTTAAGTGAGGCACAGGAAGTTTGCACACTTCGGATCTGAAGACTCATTTGCAACTGAGTTTAATTGAATTCACGCGTTGTATTACTCGTCGAACTACACTCACTTTCCTGACAGCAAACTGACTTATTTTCAGAAGGCTTCAAGTGCTGTGGGTCCCCTTATAAGTGATTTCTGCTCATCGTTTTCCCGCGAAATGTGAACCATGCGGGAAACTTACAGTCTTATGACTTTAATTCAAGTTCATGATCTGCTTATCGTGATTGGCCTCAGCCTGGGTTAGGCTTGCTCTGATCCTGGCTTTGCTGTCAATCTCGCTAGCCAGTTGGATATGTTTTTCGTACGGTATAGGTTTAGTAACCGTATCCTGGCAGTTATCATTCTTGAAAGATAATTTCTTGGTAGCAAATTTACAAGGTGCTGAATCATTGATAGGAACTTCATAATGATGCACATTTTGAAATGTTTCAAGGGATATCGGCCCCTCTTGTAGATGCTGTGTTTGCCCTTTATTGAATGAATGTTACGTATAGCTATTATTTACATATTCATATTCCAACATTAATTCCGCGCTCGGCAGTCTTGAGCATGAAGAAGCTGGAAATGGAGCTGCTCATCAAGACAGTAGAGAATCTGAGGTATGCCCATAATACTCCGCAGATATATGTATTGAGCTGTACCTCTTGCTGGGTGGTGGTTACTTTCATTAAATCGATTCCTTCGTTGGTCGCCAGTTAACGTTTGTTCTGATATATAGTCGGCATTATAATATTTTCTCTACGATAAAGCTGCAACGGCAATTTGACTCCTCCGCCTTCGTTGAACCGAACTTTTACAACTTTAATTCAACTAGTCTTGGAATATAGTGCACGGGATTGTGCCCTGATTGTTGTCCACTTACTGGTAGTGCACACACCTGGTGCGAGTTCGTGATTTACTTACGGATTGTGCTTACATGATATGGTCGAGTTGGTTGATATCGTCAATTAATGGAAACTACCGAACGAGAGTCCTAGATCTGAAAGAAAGGCATCAGGCTTCTGAGTAGCAATAGTAGGTTAGTTAGGTTTTCAACTCGTGAATGGAATCTTAAACTTATTTGTCGGTGTTTTTGATAGTCATCTAGAACTATTGTAAGTAAATCTAGTCTGTTTCCCTGAAGCGAAGCTTATCTCATTTTTCAAATTGGTTTTCTGTGGACCTTGGATCGAATTGCCGATAGCACATGATTTAGTGCCATTTGAGCTTGGTTTAAGCATCTGCCTAATATATGCAGGGTGAGCATTCGAAGGGATTACGCGAAGTGTCTTCTAAAATTATGGAACAGAAGTCCGAAGAAGAAAAGTCGAAAGGATCAGCACATGGTCCAAGTTCTTCGGGAGATCCAGGTAGATAGATAGTATGATATGAAGTTGAGTGTGCAGACTCAGTTAACGTCAATTCATCATCCATTGGAACTGATCTTTGCTCTGATGGCTACTATCTGTTTAGGGATAGACTTTTCGGAAGGTCGGTCAGAATTAGAGTGTATTTGGGGTCCTCGTTGTACATATGATATTTGGATCTGTGAACTCTGCACATATTTTCTAGACGTTAGTTGGGTCTTGATGCCTGTCTTCTGGTATGTTTGTTTCCAGCAGTTGATGTATTTACTATCAGCTGTCGAACTGGACATGTTCAATCACGTTGACGTGGTGTTTTTAGTCCACCTGCTGACTGTGTTTCTCTTAAGTACGGAAGGTTTTCTCTAATGCCTATTTTCTGCCTCATCTCCTTTAGGTTTATCTGGCCAACATGGGAAAGGAAGACTCAGAAAAAGTCATGATACTGAAGGACGCATCCATTCCTCTCATGTTCCCCATGAGACCTCTGCTTCAAAGCAAGGGAAAACTCATCAGACAAGATACTTCATCATTAAGAGCCTGAATCACCACAATATAGCGAAGTCCATAGAGAATGGAATATGGGCTACGCAAGCTATGAATGAACCGGTTCTCAATGAGGCGTATGAGGTCAGTGAACTTTGATAGGTTGGGCTCTTCCGTCCATTTCCTTGAGTTGTAAAATCCTTTTACTTCTCATGTTCTCCAGTTCTGATCCTTTATTTTCTCTGTTTTATGTAGAGTTCGGAAAGGGTTTTACTCGTTTTCAGTGTAAATATGAGTGGGCATTTCCAAGGATATGCCCAAATGGCATCACCTATAGGTCGAAGAAGGGCTAACGTATGGACGGAAGGAAACGAAGGGACGAATCCTTGGGGAGGTTCATTTCGAGTTGAATGGCTGCGTCTGCATGATCTGCCTTTTCAAAAGACCGTTCATCTGAAGAATCCCCTGAACTTCCACAAGCCTGTAAAAATCAGTCGAGACTGCCAGGTATTTGTTGGCCGCATTTTGAAGTAAGCACTTGAACCTCTTTTGAGCTGCATTCGCCATGAGGTCTAAATATCGCCAAGAACCCGGTGTGGAAGTTATTGAACGGTCTTCGTGAATGTTGTCTCCGAATGCTTGTTGTGTATATCTTCTTGCTCACTGCTTAATAATACGCCTTGGACTTCCCGCAGGAGCTGACATTGGAAATTGGGGATGCTTTGTGTGCTCTCATTGACGAGGGTGCAGACAGAGAAGGCAAACCTAAACGGTAATGGTCGGTTTAATTGCTTAGCCGAACGTTGTTGTGGGATTTCATACCGCATTAGAAAAGTGGTTGTCATTCCGGTAGTATAATGGATCGAGGTTTACAATTTGGCTGTATTGCTCGCAGGAAGGTCGTTCTAGCTGATCTTGCAGCTCATACGTCCAAAAAGAAAAGAGGAGAAGCTGCTGGGATGCCTCCAGATGTCGCGTTTAGGCAGCAGGTAGTTCCTGCATCAAGTGGAGGTCCACACTTTCCTGGGGGTTACATTCCACACCTCCAGGGAGGAAATTCCCACGAACCCTTTCCATCGACTGGTTCCTTGGGCAGAGTCTCTGGAGGCTTCTTGAATCAGATCTGTAGTCCATTAGACACCTTGAGAGTTTCAAGATCCAAGTCACCTCATCCTGCCACGTCTGATAAAAGCATGGAGTGGGACCGCGATCATGATCGAGACCATAGGCGTAGAGTAAGAGAGAGGCCTGTGGATTGGGACAGACATAGAGATGCTCGCAGCAGCAGTAGTGGTCGCACGGGTGATGTGTCAATCGAGGAGGATCTTCTCAACATGGTAAAAATTCCTGACCTTGTGGAACATGCTAACCATTGTCGTTCTCGTGAAGTCTAGCCCAAATCGCTTTTGTTCGAAGTTTTTCCATGTATACAACACCATGAAGATTCAAGAGAATGACGTGAGTTCGATAGATAAAGTACATACCCTTGAGGAGTATATTTCAAGTTTGTGTATAAAGATACACTCATCCTTATGAAGTATGTTGTCATGCGTCTTCAGACCTATGAGGAGTATCTCCTCCGGCATGGGCATGCGAAAGATTCTAGTGGCTATCATCAGGTGAAAATCACTGCTTATGTTATGTAATTTGCAACAAGGACCTTCAAACCATTTGTTGGACTTTTGAGATTTTTGTCTCTTTACTGAAGAATACAGTACTTACGCCTTTTCCCTTCTGCAAGATTTCTCAGGGTGCTGGTTCTTACGCTTACAATCAGGCAAATTCAGTCTATCGAGGAAACTGGATCGGGAAAACTCCAGGAATGGGCTCCTCAGACGATCAGTAAGTTGGCTGTATGTTTGTCTGAGTAACGTGGTTATCCAGCAAGAACGTGCGTTGACACGCCAGTTGATCACTGAAGGAATTTGTTTATACCTCGTCGTTTGTTTCCATCTTAGTGTGATTGATAACTTGCCTTCAGTTAGAAGGTCAGTGGTATTCTCGTACCTTTTTAAGTTGCCAGGACGCAAGAAATAATAAACCCATGACGGACGCCAACAGTAAATTTATAGTTCAGTTCTTAAAATGATGGCAATAGATTTTTTCAGGTTAGTATTGATCCAATACCTGGTTTTAAAATGGTGACCTTCTGCAGGTATTCAAACTATATCGCCAACTGGTACAGCAGGCAGGGCCCAGCTTCGGTAGGCGATGGATTCATTGGCAATGGGTTGGCCAAGAACTACCCCGCAATGGCCTCTTGTCCACAGTGGAATTGGAAAGGTGATGACGCGAGACCTCGGCAACTCTCGAGGACTTTGGATGGAAAACCAGGGTCTCATTTCTGGGAGCAAAATGGCCGGGCATCCAGGTGCATAGAACATATTACTGAGGCTGGTAGTTAGCGTTGAAAGGGAAGCTTATGCACTCTTAATCTAAGAGTATATTTCGCAGGCGTGCTATAACTAGAATGCTTAGTTCTGTAAGTTTCTTGTGTATTGTACAGACACTAAAAAAATGCCGCTGTAATTGCCTACACAATTCTTTCCCCCGGAGCTAGTCGCTTGTACACTGAGGGTGGCCGACTAGGTCGACGGGTGGGTGAAATTATTGAACTATCATAGGTGAGTTTGTATGTTAATCGTATAGCTCTTGACTATTCTTGACCTGTTTATATTATTCACACTTGAACTTCAGTACGAGTAGCAGTGTTGATCAAGGTTTAGCCCTATGTCCACAGCGCATAGAAAATCTTTCATTCACCATCAAGCATGAGACGTCTCTGGTACGGTTCGAGTTACTGGTGCAGCGGGCCAGTACATTGTATATTGGTTAGTTTTTAGAGCTGGTGAATGATTTCTGAAATTGTCCTGGTATGAGGTTTAGCTAGACTGACCTTTCGAAAACATTTAGGTGACATTTGTGTTCTTGAAGGTCATAGACTTTATTCCCTGCAGCTGCGTCGTTCAACCATACTGGGCCTGAAGACAGGACCACTTGTAAATGACTTCAACAGATTCTTGTGGCATCGAAGAAGGATATTCTTTTGGCCGATCTAAAGTTCTGCCCGCAGTTATTAAGCTGCCGTGATTTAAATTCATTGGGCTCCACGGGTGGTCGTGCAAGTTTCACGAGCCTTTCATCCCGTGAGCATCATGTGCTACATTTGCTTATAAATGATGTCCTGTGAATGTGTTTTTGCACTTTCGAACAACTTGCTCACTGAAGGCAGGCCTGAACGTGTAAGTGTAGGATTTCCGCGATTTCAAGAGCTGATTCAGGTTACAAAACAGGGTTTCACCTTGCCGTTCCAACTAATTTGCGGACATATCATCTCATGCCTGTAATGTACTCGAATAGAACCTACTACTGAATGTGCTACTGAATGGTACGAGTTGAGAATTTCTGATTGTGTACTGTCTGAATGAGGCTGTCTTGAGTAAAAGTTCTGAATAGTGCTGAAGCAGGTCTGAGGTTTATGTGGGTCTTCAGTAAAGTCAAACGTAACAAGAGTATATGAGATGTTGGAATTGAGTCCTGCATGAAGTTTTGTCCACGACCCCGAGCCGCAGTTGAACAGCACAGTAGAGAAAGTAACTTTTCTGTGGGTGGGTTTGTACGGTCTTCAGTAAGTAGTTCCAGATAATAATTTAAATTCCGCCAAGTATGTGGCAATAGTTTTCGATGTTTATCAAATGTTTTTGAGCGCGTGTAGAAACATTCCATGACTTGACCGTTGCGTTTTAGCCAGCTATGGTTTTAAAGAAGAACCATTAAAATTAAAGTTAGGGTGAGAAATATGGTGAGAAATATAACATCATGGTAAAACGGTTTTGTTGGGGAGACTTTAGGAGTGTGGAAGAGGTCTTGGTAGTTTACTAACCTCCATTGATCAGAGATCAGCACACCCTACGTGCTAGGAAGACGCTGAACGCGAAGGTGACGGAATCTTAAATTTTAGGTGAAGGACGCACACGGTCTCCAACCAGGAATGGAAAGTGCTCACGTGTCCACCAGCGTAGTGTAGTTTGTCTTCAAATGTACATGTTTGAAATGAACGGTTCTCGTGCAACGAGACTTGAAAGTAAAATGTAATTTCCTCTAGATTTAAAGATTAATGCTCCCCGCTAAGGTAACAGTTCAAACGTACAAAAGAATAATATAGGTTTAAATGTCACAACTTAACCAAACAAAATTTATACATCAACACACATCTATAAAGGTTAAAAAGTCGTGAGTCATCCAAACAGAAATTATACATATACACACATGTGTGTATTCAATGTATAATTGAGGGCTAATTTCCCTCAGTGTATACAGATTGGGATTTGTTTTCCGCATGGACAAAACCTTGAGGGTCGGTAACCCAAGCTATACCAATACGGTACCCAATAGCACTAAACTTGGGTTACCGACCCAACCTTAGTGCTATTTCTTTTCCGACATCCCAACAAAAACGTCTAGACTCCTGTGGTATTCTAGTACATGAAACACTTGTTTCATTCGTTTCTCCACGATTATTTTTCTATTTTCAGAGAACGTGTGTATATGTCCTGCGTTTATCCTTCAAGAGTGGCTAATTAGTTTAAACTGAATTATAATTAACTGTTCTTATCTATTATAATATATATATATGTATATATATATATATATATATATATACATTTATCTATGTTATGCAACAATGATTATTAGAGTCATGCGCATAAATTACCCAAATAAATTTAATTTAGTGATCTCATATAAATTAATTTAGACTAATTTAGTTTACTCAAAATAATAATATTTAAGTAAATATTAATACAATTTTTCTATATTACCCAACATCAATAAATATTTGAATTTTTCTATTAATAATATTTTTTGATTTCATGATTATTTTAATTCAAAATTTGATAATTTTTTATAAAACAAATCTTTCTTCCAACACAAAATTGAAAAATCAAACATTATTGTACTAGTTTTTTAAAATAACGTTACAATTACATTACAATATTCCATCAGATTTGAAAATCAAAAGTCAAATGAAAACCAGCCATATTTGAAATTTGAATGGTTGAAAAACGAATCAACGACGTTTTTTAATCATTGACTCACATCTATAAGCGTGGATTAGAGCTTTGTGTTCATCAGTTGTGATATAGATTTGATATGATGAATAACAATGCTTCAATTAAAAGACATTTTGCATAATCTTTCCGATTAAATATGTTGCAGATGAATTCATTGATCATCATTCAGCTTGATGAATTCATTTGGTAACACTAGAAAAATAGAACCAAAATCAGACATTGCAATGTTATTTTGATTTTGATAAGCATAACTTTCATGACTCCGATAAAAAACGTGACGTAAACAAGAGCTATGTCGTGTTGAAAATCGTTTAGATAGCTTTCATTGGATTTGTCAAGTAAAATTTCAATCCAAAAAGCTAGACTAATGAATTTTTTTTGAAAATTAGACAAAACGATTACATAATGACTAACTATGACGTGAGTCGATAGCTCAATATTCGTAATTCATTTTGCATTGAGTAGTACAATCACTCCAACGTCGGTAATGACAAGATTATCCAAGACATTTTGCTGCTAAAATACAAGAGTAGGTAATCATTGAATAACACAAAAAGCGACAACTACTCAAGCGGTGAAATTATGTACAGAAAGAAGTGCAATCCATCAAAGTCAAGGTGGAGCGGAAACTGGGTGCTTTGACTCAATATGAACAACAACTTTGTTCAATGTATTTTGAATCAAGTGATGATTTTTTCTGTCAAAAGCCAAAAATTAATAAAACGAGTGCATTTAGTTTGAATTTCTGCGATCAAATTTGGCTACCATGTCAAATGAGTAATAAATCAAGTCATCATAAAAAATAATTGTTCTTTGATGACATTGTTCATGATCTCTTCCATAACAAGATCTGTTTGATGCGTTACGTATCAATGAACATAACATCACTTGTGTGAGATCTAACATAAAAAGTGTACAATCATGCAATCTAACAATCTAATGATAGTTCCGAATGAAGATCTGAAAGTCCATATCAAGAAATGAAGTATTTTGATGTGTTGTCGAGTCGAATGGTAATGCAAATGCCCATGAACGTCTAAGAAGGTTGGTAATTTATTTGCAGACCGGCAGCGCAAACAACTCAAACAATTGTGTATATTCATGTGCATATTCATTGTGGCTCTACTTGATGTCTTTTAGTTGGATCTTATAGCATGTTTGACGAGTTTTAGATTTTTCCTTCAGGTTGAACTTGAATTCAAAAAATCTATAATAACGTTTCATTGGATATGATATGAAATTGGACTTCTTGTACCTTTTGTGAAAAGTTAATGAGCACTTTGGTTTGCACGTTCAAAGCACAATATATGAGGTAGGAATTATGTATCTTTTCCTAGCAATGTGACCAAGTTAGTGATATTGTAATAACATATATTGTTTGATAGTTTTTACTCCAAGATTAATATTTATTACAAATATTAGGATTCAAGGTTTATGAAAGTTATGTGAAGTGATGTGTAACAACTAAGTAGTGATAACATGTGAATATTCTATCAATGAAAGTGAGGAAAAAGAATCCGATTATATTTGTTGCTAGAGATTAGGGACTTAATCTATACCTTGGAATTTCCTGATGACAAAACCCTTTCAAAATTGAAGACTCACATCTTGGGAACCTTTGTCCAAACGTCTCGAGCCATTCACATGACTTATCCGCGTAGACAAAACACTCTAAATGGTATATTTGTGTCATAGAATATTTTCAGGGGTTGTGATCACGTCCATGTATTGCTGCTCTGAGCTGCGATGTTCGATTCCGCTTCCGACAATTCTCTGTAGGAGTAGGCACTCACTTTTCAAAACGCGTGAAGTTCAAAAGGTTACGCCAGGAATGTGAAAAGAACCCACAGTACAGATGCACATCAACTACGAGTATCGGAAGTAACGTGTCAGCACCTACATACAGATAATCATACAACACATGAGTACTCAGACTGGTGTATTGTACGATCGTACTCTCTCTATACGTCCAAGGAGCATGACAACGAGTACCGCGATGCCGTGCGTACTCTCATGGCTCGTCAGACTGAATTCAGGCACTCATAATTATCGGGCACGGATTACATAAGTAGCGGAACCAGCTCGATCCGTGGTCCATGATCGATCCCTGGTGAACTCATTAGTATTAGACAAGAATGTGAACAGATGGAAGAGTGTCGATGTGCTTCTGAGGTAGAAGGCACAGGGCAGGATGCTCATCCTCAGCCTCCCGAGGAAGGGTATATGTCGTGACAAGATTCGTAGGAGGCAGCTCACAAGCTAAACGGAGAGAGGGAAGGACGGAAGTGAGGCGCTGATGGGAGCAGGGTCATAGCACAGCTGACATCAACACGTTGCCGGTGATGTTGTTGTCATGATGGATCAGAGGATCTAGAGAACTGCTGGAGTCTGGAGTGATTCTGAACTGGGTAAGGAAGGAAGGATGAGAAGAAGGTTCGTGAGTCAAAATGGTACCTGTACTGCTGGACTAGGCTGATTATGCTATCTTCTACTGGCGGTAGAGACGAGTACTCCAGATCCGGCAGTACTAGATGTAGAGGTAGTAGAAGTAGAAATGTACTGCTGTATATTTCGGTTCCACGTACATCATATAACTCTATCACTCCACTCACTCAGCACTAAGATTCAGTCAAGGGGGTAAGTAATATAGCAAAAGTGATGATTAAACTCAGCCAGTATTCTACCTTTGAGTTAGAAGGCATTCTGTGATTGGAACACTGACTGACTGTCTGTCTGATTTTCTATGGCTGCAATCGTACATGAGGGTCATGCCCTATGAACTCTCTCCGGTTTTTCTGCCTCTATGTTGTTCGTAAGTACTGTACTGATGTTGTCTGAAGACAGAGGCTCTGAATAAAATATCCAGTCGCTTGTTCTGGTTGATGTAGTGTCGTACTGTTCTCCATGATGAGTTGATTGTGTCCTCTGCTGATCTCGTGTCGCACTAGTCGAATATCTGTTCTCACTCCCTGGCCTTGCAAGAAGTTTGCCATGCCATCGTTTCGTCCAAATCTCGGATCTGCTTGGCAGTAAGTCTTGGTGCATCTCCGAGAAAGAAGACTGCAACTTTGAATTTTGAATGTCTTTGGTCACATTCACTCACCATCTTTTGGTAATTTAGTGTGGCCATACCGACACACGACCATGATCTCTCGTGAAAGCAGTGCTAGTGATTGCCTTTACTACTACTGTTCTGATCGATCTGATTTATCCTAATTCAGATCGGTCAGAACCGATCATCCGTAGATCAGCGTATTTATCACACCATTGACAACATCAGCATACATCGGTTTTCCTGACGTCAAATTTGGTGCAACGATGGTTCTGATATGAATATTGTCAAACAGTATTGCTCGTGGTTATCGGAATAAAGACATGGCAGTATCACTTCCAGTCTTGCACAGCCATCTATCTCTTCATGCTTAAGGTCTCTACCAAAGGCACGAACAAACCATGGCATTCTTCTCGTAACGGAGCTCTTAAAACAATTTCTGAACAGTTCACGTTTCGTATGGAAGGAAAGAGAGGCAAAATTAAAGTAACAACATTTGTTCGTTCATTTCTGTGACGAGGAGACGAATCGTAAGCAGCTGTCGCTAAATTGATAGAAGTAAGATTAGGACCTCGATAGACCAATAGCCTCTGAGATTTTAGTAGTGGCCAAAGGCAAGCTGCAGGAACTGAGATCCGATCAGAACCTGGTGGGCCCGTGGCCAATCTCAACCTGGTGAAAGGGAAATGTGGACTGATGAACGCAAGAGCAGCTCCAGTGTGAGACTTACAGGCATGGATCGGGGCCGCTGGCGACAGGGGCAAAGCTAGCTACCGATGTTGCAATGGCAATCACCAGAGAGCTCTTCTCCCAGGCCTACGGTGGCGGTAGGGTTGTTGAAAACGCATCTTCCGTTTCTTAGCTGCACTCATGCTTTACTTGTCAACGTGATCATGTGATACGCGCATCTGCAGCTGTTCCACGGTCCCTATGACAGTCTCCATGCCTACATCGCCACTCCAGGCTGAAGCCCTGAGAGTCTGAGCCGAGCAGCTATGGAGTAACGGCCGTAGATCTACATAAATATGAGTCGAGAGCAAATCACGTGCACTACTCGCAAGACCTGAGAAGTGCACCCAACTCTCTTAATGCTAGCTAGCATCTATCAGCAGCATCTAGAGTCGTCCACACTTCAACTTTAAGCCGCAGCAGGAGCTATTGTCACCTCCTAATAGATCGCCGATTCATCATATGTTTGCCACGAGATCTAGGCTTCGTGACAGAGAGGAATTTGGAGCTGCGAGTCTTGAAAGCTGGTAGATGGTATGAGATATGAGCCGAGGTGAGAACAATATTATTTTGTTTGTTTTCTAGTGAAGGCCAGCTTCTCGGAGGCTGTTTACTCTTCACTTTATCACTGCACCATAAAAGCCCAACTCTTTTGCCGTGATTCCATCGTCAGGTTTCTTGCATCTTTTTCTTTTTTTTTCGTGTTAGCTCGTTTGAAGTTTCATTCACGTCACTCTGCAAATAAGCCTTCTCATGGCGAGGATCAAGAGCTGCAGCTCAACTTGGTCACAAATAATGTCCTGTCTAGAAGCACCAATCGAGCAGCATGAGCATAAGCGTAAGCACCAATACAATAGCAGGACCAGCCGAAGCGAGCTGAGGTTCAGATTGAGGCTGGGAAAGTTCACTCGATCACCTGATCCGCATCGAGCAGGTAGGCAAGGGAAGAAAACTTAATCGGGCTGGAATTAATGGAACCGGGCTGCAAGTGTTGGCTTTGACAGTGCACGCTTGCCGGCCCTGCAGTGCGTGATGAGGTAGGACCCGGAAGACTCGGAACAGTCAACCGAAGACTCAAGTTGACCTGGAGCTGTCAGGGAAAAGAAGGATAGGCGACGAAAATGTTTCTTCGTCGGATCAGCCTCTCTCTGCGCAGCATCAGCAGCAGCAGAGAAGTCCTCATGGGCTGAAAGCTGAAGCTTCACCGCATTCAATGGCCCTGGCGTTGGTTGTTGAACTGGCATCATCTTCCATGTCAGCGACTCCAGCGGGAACTACCGACTTACCCAATTGTCGCCGTCCTTCGCCCACGGAGGATCGAGAGAAAGAGACCGACACGAAACGAGACGAGAGAGGCCTCAGGAGAGAGGAGAAGAAAAGAAAAGAAAAGAAAAGAAAAGAAAAGAAAAGAAAAGCAGGAGTCCTCATAACAAACTGCAAACTGGATTCCTACGACTGTCCTGTAACAACTCGGCCACCCTGCACTGCACTGGTAGCTGAAGGTATTGATGGCGACAAGCAGCGAGGTGCACACTGCACAGCACCGCCGGCGAAAGACATCGCAGATCGGAGAAGAAGACCTGAAGGCATGCAGGGGAGACAGAAGATTACCCACGTAATGCAATGAACATCTGAGTTTAGGATCAGTGACGTCATTAGATTATTATGCCAGAAAACAACGCGAAGCATATGCATACAAAAATGCCAAGACCTTCGTGATAGCCTCAGCTATAGTACGAAACAACATTTTGGAAACTGCTCGAGGCCGATGATGATAGATCATCAGTAATATGCGATGGCTCCTCTTGCTCTTCCTAGGTTAAAGCTTCTCTTCTTTGTTCTGCAGCTTTGCTAAGGTTTTTAGTGTACTTCCGAACGAGAGTCTCCGATGCACTTCTCTGATCGAAAACTATTGAGGCTAACAAGAAGGCTTGCTCTGGAGAAATTCCAAGTGTTTAGAAGACATGATCATGTGGTAAGACACTCCAAGCGCACACATTAGGCAAGTCCCTGGTGAAGTGTTGCCTCTTATGATCTTGAGGGATTTTGGTGTTGTTACCTCTATAGATCAAGGTTCATGATGTAAAATGCACACTTGCCTCGATCTATGGAACCCGGTTCACGATCATATGATTCACGTAGCATCTTCTTAAGAACAATGTGAATGATTTAGAGATGTTATTTTCATAAAGAAACCTTCATAAAGTGCACTGCACAGTGGAGCATTTCCTATCGATAGACAAAAATGTAAGCCAATCTAGTACCGACAATTGCCAGATCTACAGTAGGGAGAATTTTGGCTCTTTCATCAACTGTCGAACGGAACCACGATCCCAATGAGCGCAATAAAGAACCAGGTGTACCAAAACCAAAGTTCGTGTGGTACTATTGCAATGCATCACGTCTTCAAACCACTGTAATCGTGCAGTACCTTTGCCAGACATCTAAGAGTCGATTGGATATATTGTTTGGATGCAGAACCAACGACAATCCATATCAGCTGGCTTGTTCCTCCGACGCAGCAATGAAATCAGTCAGGGTCATCAAGGTGCAGAGTCCTGCTGTCTAATGTCTCGTACACATTTGGGTCGGGTTCTGAATCTGAACATCGAGTTAGTGGTCGGTAGTAGTAAGCATCACAGCGCCTCCTGCTGCTGCTGGACCATGTTTCCATGCATCCTTGACCTTTTCGAGGAGAATCACTCGGTGGGTTGAATGAGCTGAAGTCATATGACACACGCGTACAGCCGATAAGGTTTGCACTAAAGTTCATTCTCCACTGCCCATTGGAATGAAAATTACTTGCAGAGACTAGTACCGTCTCTGGGAGGTCAGAGAAAGTACCGTTAATCTTCTTCAGCTGCTGCTGCTGCTGCATCTTCTTGAGGGAATCGAGGTCGACAGAAAACTTGTTTGATCCGCGGGATAAATTGAGTCCTCTCAAAACTAGATGCGAAGGAAAATTGGTGTGTTGGTACACTCAGCACCAGAGTTTAGATGAGTCCTACCAAAAGTGGAGAATTTTTGCCTTCGCTTTGGAAAATGTGGAGCATGAGATCCTCCCTTGGAATAGAAAACCCTCCTCCGTACAATCTTCCTACATGTCTCTTCACTTTAGTTCTGAATGCAGAGCTCATTTTAATTTGGAGATTATACTCTTTGAGCTCAGTGTTCTGACTTCAGACGGAGTACTGCAGAAGATTATGATCAGACTTGCAGTGGACAATCTCTTCAGTGGATACAGTTCACCACTTGATGTGTTCATTGCTCTCTTGACTTGGTATACTGATGCTTCTGGCACACAAAATTATTAGAGAAGAAGTGCGAAGCAACATTATCTAAAGTCATCTTTTATACCACTCCAGAATCTGTAAATAATGCCTGCAATGGCATGAAGACCATCATCGGCCACACACAGGCATAAGAATATATTAAGTTGATTGTACTAAGTTGTAACCACTGGCAGGGAGACGATTAGGCAAGAGTTGGGCTTCCTCTCCTTCCTGGTCCGCTGCCGAGTACTGGAGATGGAGTTCCCGGGGCTCTACTCATCATGATGAGATCTGATATGTTGCCCAAGCTGGGAGCCCACTTCACGTTTAGAGATGTCAGACGGGCTGACAAATTTGGCAAAATATCTCACCACCAAGCTAGAAGGGGGCTGAACTTGTTCTGCTTACAGACCTCTTCCATTACTTTCACCTCCAAATCGACTGAATCCGATCTGGGTGCACGTGACTTTGCAAATCATCTGATGAGTAGCTTCACTTTGATAGTTTTGCTACGGTGCTTGACATTATGATACCCTAAGGGAAAGCAAGAGCAGGGAAGCCGTGGCATAATGGAAAGGACTCGGATACTCGGAACCAATACTGAAGACGTCGAGCTCTTCCACAACTAGTTCCAAGTTTAGAATAAAATGGATGAATATCGTGCACCAATTTCTGATCAATTTATGGGAATCTCTTCATACATTTGAACTCCAACATTGTAATTACGGAGCAGCTCTTCTAACCACATCGCATTGAATGTGGAATCCAAAATCGGCATCAGTTCAGGACGACTGCAGTTTGCTTACTGTAATCTACAAGTGTTAGTTTACACTGCTCGTCTCGAATTTGCAGAGCATCTGTCGGCCTCGTGTCATGCCCAAAAGCTGGAACGTGTACCACTCATTACCAGTTCGAGCGAGCAGAGGAGGATATAGTTCAGTCTGAGATTATTCCTGTCAGTTGAAGGCAATATTCGGTACAATATGGGGCAAGCAGTGAATTAATGAATAGGTGAATGTTTCGATCATCGGTGCCCTCTGAAAGATCCACTCCGAGGATTTCATGGACGCCTCGATGATAACTGTCGCAACTTCCAGTGGAGGATCTTGAGTGCATGGGCGATAGGAATCTCGAGATCGACGGTCGAGGCCAACACCTTGGACGGTGAGGATGACACTGCCAATTGCATGCGTTGACGTACAAACAATTTATGCAGCTTTTATATTACAGCACCATATCCTCCTCAGGTAAGCGTTTAATCTTGTTGCTGCATAGGAACAAATAATATATAAGAACTCGAGTGTTTACACCGTACAAGAATTAAACTACGGAATCAATAGGGAGGGTAGATTTGAACCTTGGTAAAATTATCATGGCATGAGATAAAATGTCATAAAACTGCCAGTGGTCGTGATCTTTGAGAATAGCGGTCTGATAATAAGTAGATGCTCATTTAAGGTATCCGTCGTATTAGATGACTCGTTCAAACAAACGTATATTGATAGCACTCCAAACGCCAAACGAGAAGCAATAAATATAAAGCAAAAGCACCTTCTACCTTGAGAACACTCCAAAGCAATGTTGGTTGCGTCGACTCTTGCAGGACTGGACAAAATTGGTGGATTGTATCGGCCCCAGTTAGACCTACAAGAAATAAAGAACTAAGTGATTCTCGAAGATAACTGCTGTGATTGTAGAGTTATCACACGTCAATTGCTCAGCAGATACTATGCGTTGAAATTCTCATTTGGCTTTTGAAGGGAGATTTTCCATTTTTGTTATATGCAATTTTTTCGATACGAAGCCATATAAAAATATTTCTGTACAAAGTCAATTTTTAAAACAAAAAGAGTAATTTGAAGAACTTGAAGTCTACTGTAGCTATAAAGTATAAGTTCTAACGTGAAGTTGAATGGAAAAGTTAAACATACAAACGAAGAAGAAGGATGAAATCATTTTTTCTATTTTAAATAATTTATGCATTTTTTCAAATTTAATCTTTTTAAAGATAAAACACGTAATTATCTAGCTTTAATTTAAATTCCATAACACCCTCATGATCATGTGTCATTTATCCAATTTTATGCAGAGTATAAATGCATCTATCAAATCACACTTGCCATTGATAAAGAATTTGAATAAAAAATAGCCAAAAATTTTGCTTGATTACATTAGTTTCTCTTACAAGAATGTAAGAAGTGATAAATCTTTGCATTCTTTCAGATATCATATGCATGAATTTTGAATCCTAAATTAACAAAAATTCACCTTTCTTTCTCTTTGTAATAAAAAACACAAATTTTCTTAATAGAATCGTTTCAAGAAGGTGGATTGAGTCAGCCTAGCAACATGTATTTTACTTTGATAGAGAATATATCTGAAAAACGATTTGGGTTTCAAGCTGAGACAAAAAGAATGAGCTAAGTGAGATTCTTGAAGTGTTAGAATTTTCTAAAGCTTCAACATTCAAATTTTGGGTTAATTATATGGAGCTGCAAACGATGGACCATTATTTTTCGCCTCTACAGAAACAATAATATTGAGTGGAATTTAATGTAATAAATATGTCAGTAATTTCTTGAGGTTGGATTTGTTATGGCGAAGCAATCGGATGGATACATGGAAATCATACACATAAATGCATGTATGATAACTACATACATGCATCAATAGATACAATCTGATCTATATGTTGTACCTACAAATGAGATGCTTCTCATGAGGAGCCCTCTAAATCGTTGTGAGTTGGCCATTACTTCAGGTTCATTGATACTCATGTTATTCTCTTTTATTGGAGTGAAGTAACTGGTATGTATAAAATATGTAAAATTTTATTGTGAGAACGGTTAATCATCTCTCACTTTTGGTTGATTATCAATCACTTTATTATATTTTTTTTGTAAAGGTGTGTGATTGGTAAGGGACAAGGATAAAATTTTTGTGGATGGATGGGTGCTAGTTTTAAAATAATGATTTTTTTTGTGAGTTGGTGGAGTTTTTTTTCCTTCTACTTTTTTTATTTATGGCCCGACGTTCTCGTTTTGAATGGTTACTAAAGGTATACTGTAAAATCGGTCAATTTTGATCTAAAATTATAAAGAACTAGAATGATAGAGTGAAAGCAAGGTCTTGGGATTGGCGGAAGATTTTCACTAGCTTCCGATCGGAGCAAGTAGTTGATTGGCCTTGGTTTGTTGCCAATTGGGTCAAGGGACAAACTCGTGATCACCAAAGAGTTTCTGGTGGGCAACTTCGAGCGCAGTCGTCCGGATTTCCGGCAATAGCAAATGATCGATCGTTAGAGGTACAAGGCAAAGTAGTGGTCGACGGATTGATTTTGTTTGTATGCGGAGGATGGGGCGAATTTTGATTAAAGTCAAATGATTTGTGGAAGATTAATTGGCAACTGTCGGATGCTAGAGATCAACGACGTGCGGGCTGATTTGCTCTACTCCGCTCAAGTCAACCATGTCGTGTCAAGGAGAGGAACCATGATTTCTATGGGCTGCATCGCGTGGTTTGTCATCCTCCTCTGAGCGAGGAGACGTGTGGATCGCAGTGGAAGATTGGAAAAAAGGAAGAGTAAGGAGGGAGAGCAATCTGGGCTACCTCATCTGCGGTTGCTGCACCGAGGCCAAGAGTCATTATATCTATCTAAAACTACAGAGTATATCTCCCAATAGTGTCACCTCATGTGAGTGACATCCTCTCATTAGTGACATGAAAACGGAGAACCATTAGTTTCTAACGGGTAGTTTTGTCCAAAAATAACAGTACATCACTATTGTCAATAGTGTCATGAGATTTTTCAATAGTGATGGTGTTGAGCTTTAAGAACTATCATATTTGCGGAAAGTATCAGTTCAGAGCTTGCTGATTGACTCTGTACACATTCCATGAAATAAATTTAGTGAGCTTGTCCTACAAATAAGAGGGCAAGTCGGTGTAACTCTTGGCTGAAATGGAAATAATCCTCGAATTAGCTCATTCATTTTATTGCATAAAGAACCTACTGACGCTCAGAATGTGAACGCAAACACTTGTGACCACTGCCACAAGCGTTTGAGAGTCTGACGAGTGTAGGAGAAAGCCAAAGTTAAATAAACATAAGACGAACTAATGCTAATTTTCTCTAGGCCAAAATTTGCCGATGACTTTCAGAGTTGAAAGTCTGTAGTTGTGTGCAAAAATGTATCTTCAATGTAGCTTGAGGACCAAGAGTCAATGTGCAATTTGCTAGCGGCACGCAAACGGATTGCGGTGATTGAACGTGAGCACAAAGGAAGAATGAACACCATGAACACAAATAAGTGAAGAGGCAGTGATCGCAAGATGACAACACCATACGCATCCTCAAAGATCACACAAAGCCTGAGTAACACAGCGTTATTCGGTTCAGACGACTAGATGAAGAAAAACCCAGAAGCTCGCAAAATTGTTCATTCAAAATCAAAATCATCTTTTAGATTGCACAAGCTATGAAGAAGATGGGAAGTATTAGCTTACTTACATGCAGACAAGTGCAGATTCGGAAGACATGTACAAGAACAAATTAGATTCAGATGTATAACTGATGCAATCTGCTGATATTCACCAAATAATCTAGGTTTTTCATTCTCTTAGCTTAGCTTGATCGTTGAGCTCACAACTCTCTAGCTCTAAACTCAATTTTCTTTGAGATGTTTTAGAATCTCCTATGAAGAATAAGAAATGAGAAATAAAAAGACACACACATAGAGTATTTGGTCAAACTCAAAGCAAGCTTATGATTAGACTCCAAACTCAAAGTGCTTACAGTCTTCTCAGTCCTCATGTGCGTGTCAGGGGGTCCGTGTGATGCTAAACGTGGAATTTGGTAATTGCTCAGATCCACAAAGTCGTTGGGAAAGACTAGACGAAGTCCAAGAGAGAAAATTTAACGAGAATCAATAGAATGAAATTATAATTTCTCGATAAGAAAATGTCAAACATACAAACGAATATAAGAATGTAATTCATTTTCACTGAATGCAGAGATAGACCTTTTTTCATTAAATTGCACATCAACAATTTACAGAAATTAAAAAAAACACTAACTCATCGTCTAACTTGGGTTCGATGAAATTCAATTCAAAAACGATCAAATCCTGTAAATATAGTTAACATTCTGATTGTCGATTGTTTCAACAGTCTAAGTTTCTCAATTTTCTGCAGATGGATCAATGGACGACAAGCTTTTTGGAGGTTGCAAAGCAACTTACTCTGTAGTTTTGTCGATAAAGATGATTCGATAGAAAAAAATTTGATCAAATTAGTAATGGCTTTATTTGATTTCTCGATGGTCACCAAAGTCAAATGCTCACCAAAATCATCATCGTTTAAATTACTATCATTGTGCAAGAGATGATGTTGTTTCAAAACTGATCTGACGATGCTAACATCTTCAACATAATTGTTGTCAATAACATCAACAACATCCATTTCAAGAAGATATTCTACAACTTCTTCTATATTTGAATCATCAAGACCCAAGGACACTGAAAAAGAATCATTGAGTTGAATTTCTTGAAGATTTTTCACCAAATCATCGAAAGCTTGATTTGAATAGGTAGTGAATCTATCGAAATCTTGGTTCAAAATTACGTTAGATACAAGAGATAAATAGTTGGCTTTAATAAAACACCATCGGATAGTGTTCTCTTTAATACCAATACAGAGGATATATATCTATATTCTCTATATAGGTTGAGTCATATCTTCTCAAATCTGACCCAACCAAGTACATTGCGTAGATGTGTATGATTGTTGATCAAAAACCAAGAATAAGATGCCCGTTCATTTGCCTGCCACATCTCATACTCAAACATTAAATGGTTCAGTTAACCACAACAAAATGAGCTTTGAAAGATCATATGATACATTGATCAAGAGGTTGACATTCGCTGGTAGCATTCGGAGGAAATAAAATGATACATTGGTTCTCAAATCAAAAAAAAAATCTGTTGAACCCTATGGATCTAAAATCTTAGACGTACAAAAGTGAAAGTAGCA